TTCACAAGATCCTACTTCTTGAATAACATCTTCTAATCCTAACCTCTCCGACTACTGCTACTACCTTTACTACTTCTACTACTATTGGATTTGAATTGAAAATGACATCTCTGTGCTAATGTTGTATGGCAACATGAAGTTATGTACGTGTGTACGAAGTTCTACGTTGCTATTTATTGATTGATTTTAAATGTGTATTTAGCAGTAATATTAATAGCAGAGTCTCAATGAACAAATTTATTGGCCTATCTTTACTAAATGAAGAATAGTGCGATTCACCAAACACTCAGATTTAAAAGGCGAAAGTTTTTCTTTTATGTCTGAAGAAGTTTAACAAATTTTAAATATACTGATATGAAACATATTCTTTCGAAAGCTAGAGGTCTGGTATATAACTAATAAAATTTTAATGAGTAGGAATTCATTTGAAAAGCTAATTAGCAGAAAACACAACTTGATCAGGCTAGCTGATTTATTAGGTCATTGTGACTTATTACAACGATCATTTATGGAATTACTTTAAAAATATTTATTGGAATGTAAAAGACGTAAATACTCTAATTTAATATCAATTTTTAATGAAATACCAGTAGGTAGTCAAGTGTCAGTCAGTCAGATGCAACGTAGAACTTTGTACATAAGTACATCAGTTCATGTTGCCATACCACATCAGCACATAGAAGTAATCGTCAATTCAAATCCAATAGTAGAAGAGGTAGTAAGGGAATTAGAAGTAATCGGAGAGGTTAGGATTAGAAGATACTATTCAAGAAGTATGATTCAGTGAGAAAAGTTTAGAGAGTCGAAACTAGAGGTGATGAAGAATCCAGAAGATTAGGGTTTGAGAGAACACAAAGAATAAATGCACCGGCGCCATTGCGAACGATTTATTATTAGGCTGGCCACTTGAGGGGTACTATCGATCTGTAAGATAGTCCGATGATCTCTAAAAGTTGAGTTATGGATACTGTAATAAATGTTGGTTTTTTACCATAATATGAAGACAAACTGAAGTTTCAGTTTCCATCATTTTTTAGGCTCTTAATCCATAACTCGAAATTTGAATTATTTTAAAGAACAAATTAAACACTTAGTTCTTGAATTAAACTAAGGCCACTTAATCGGATGAACTATTTAGATCAGTAAAAAATAAATGATAGTAAAAGTTTCGATCATATATCAATAACAAAATAAAATTATCAAATGCACTTGTTTGAAAATCTTGTTAATCATGTGAGGTGCACTTTATTAGGTGTGTCTGGTCAACGAGTTTTGGTTTCTAAGGCGTTCTTCGAAATGACTAGTAACCATGCCGATCTCAGGGGAAAACTCACTGCTTCTTCATTACTTTTATGTACAGAACCATTAACTTTTACAAGAAAAGTTTGAGTTTTTATCTTGAGATTATTTCTGTACGCTTACTGAATTATTTAGAGCTTCTAGATATTTATACTACGTAAAAAGCTACAAAATAATGCTACGTCATTATGATATGCATTCATTACATGTGGGAGGAAATGAAGGAAGTTTTAGTGATAAAGTGACAGCCGTGACAAAATAAAAATGAGAGAAGTGTATAACCCGACGGAAAACCACAGAAGATTAGCGATTCTGATTCCCCTTCAGCATATGCCCTAACTCGACCATTAAGGCAAAAAATACTTGGCAAGGTTTGCCTTCTGTACACCTTTCAGTAGAACACTCCTGAAGAAACTCGTGGGTCCACAGAATTGAATATCAACCTAAAGTTCAGAAATATTCAGTCGGAATTCGATAAATGTGGCAAGTTCCGCAATCCAGCATATATTGCATATTTGATAGATGTATAAACCCGCAACTTTGAAACCATCCTAGTTTTATCGGGTTTGGTTTTCACGGGTCGGATTACTGAGGTTGATATTTTAGATACTAGCTAAATACTTCATCTGTCTGTAAGTTTCACTATTTAGAACTAGGTTTAAGATAGCCTCTATCGAGATAAGGATGAACTGCCGATGGCTTCTTCCGAGAGCAACAGATGACGGGTAAGCTCTTGAATAAGTAAATGGCGGGTTCGAGTTTTGATAGCCTGATCCAGTCAGATATAACAGTCAAAGAACAAGCGACAGGTGCTGATGTGCGCACAATATTGGCCAGTATTTGGCTTGGTCTTACGAGGGACAGATCGATATTAATTGGTTTGTAAATTCGTTTGACTTGGTTTAGCCAGTAAAAGCTTCCCACTCACCCTGTTTTCTCACTGAAGTAGCTACTTGAGTATGTGTGTATAGGAAGCATGCACGCTAGTACGACGAGGAAAACTGTCCAGTATATCACGTCCCACTTTAGGCATAAATTTTCGGATGCACATACATCAGACTGACGAGTCCTAAATAAAGCAAAAGAAATATTGTAGATTCCATTGGAATTCGTAACGCGAATAGTGTTTTAAAAGTGTGAATAAGTTAGTCATTTAAGTAAATGATAAATCAATCATAAAAATAACAGTTACGAGGAACTTTCAGACGACCCTTCGCTTCTGTCTATTAAATCATATGTAAAAGAGTTACTATTATAGCGAAATATAGATTTCCTAGCCCCAATGTTAATGCAGTAATAAAATAATACGTGGTTTTGCTTGGAAGGTTACTGGAACTGTAAACATGAAGCCAAGTCAAGTTGACGACTGATAAAAAAGTAATCCAACTTAACACTCACGAGGAGATAAGTGTACTCAGCTATAAACATAGTTTCAATTAGCTAGTGACATCTAAAATGCCCATTGTCTGAATGAAAATGATCGAACTGTTAATGATGACGACGTAACATAGATCCAACGTGCATCGTTTAGTTTCTGTTGACAGATCTCGTTGATCATAACACAAATAGACGAAGAGATGAGAAGCGGAAGAGAGATATCTGTATACTTATAATGTTACTTATTACATGCGTAAATGTAACTCAAAGTAAATAATCTACAGTGCAACAAACAGACAGGTATCGGATAAGATAATACGTATGAAGACACATGAGTGTACAATGACAAGGACATGAATTTAGGAAGTCTACGAACTAAAGGCAATTTACTATAAAAGGAATAGAGTTAGTATGTTGGCTAAATTTGATACAATATTTTCATGACGAGTTATTGAAACCTGTCCAAAAGTCAGGATCAATCACGTGGGTGCTATAATGTAGAAGTTGCTACAACTCTTAAAGACCTTTAAAATTGATGTACGTAAAGTAGGATTCGAATTAATTACCTAATGCGATAACTTAGTCATGTTCAGTGATAATCACTGAATACTGTTGCTAAGACCAATGTTAATCTAGTAAGTTGGTGAATTATTGATGCGACTGAAGATAAGCTTGGTAGCACTGAATGTGATACTATGACTTCTACGGCTTATCACCGATATGTAGGCGGATACGACCGCCATTACTAAAAGAAACGCGAAATAAAAACGAACTCATTGTTTTAAACCTACAGGGTCAAAAGAATGTTTCAAGTCCCAGCATTAAAGCAATAGATAAAAAGGCAGTAACAATATTATATTGTTATTGAAAAATATGAACTGCAGTGTGTTACAAAGAAACAAAAACAATCAATATAACCATCCACTACTGGTATATTAAATGTCGATACAGATGTTGGAATATGATTACCTGATGTCTGTTATAGCGTTAATGACCGTTTGAGGAAGACGTCAAATTTTAACTACCTTTAATTGCAAATCTTATTAAGTAGTTAATTTAATTCAGCCAGTTACAACGTAGAACTTCGTACGTACGTACGTCAGTTCCAGTTACCATACTATCATCGCACAGAGACACAAATTGTCAATTCATATCCCATAGTGGTAGAGGAATGAGCAGTAATCAGAAAGATTAGGTTTCGGAAACATTTCTCAAGTATAATCCAGTGAAATAAACTTAAGAGAAAGACGAAAGTGATGACGAATTCGGAAGGTAAGGATTTCAGAAAACACAAAGAATGGGTGCACCCGCGCCACTGCAAACGATTTTGAGCCATATCATGCAAGGTGTCCGGTTATCGGTTACTGTCACCTCGTGGATCCCAATCGGGAAGTCTAGTTCTACCAACATGGCCCAGTCCACCTGTCAGCGACTTCATGGAATCGTGCCACGTTTCGGTTTGGTTGCTTTCTTCCAACCTATTCCTAAACCACAAAACATAGCTCAGTTAATTTGATTCATCAAAAACAAAGCAATGGTACTCGGAAATCTTTTACAGAATTAACGAAAACACTGACGCATTTACAAATAAGTAACATAGTTTATAAACCATTTCGAAAATACAATCAATGTAGTATCTTTCGCGTTTAAATGTGCTAGCTTGAAAAAAGTAATTATGCAATTAGGAACGTGGTTATATGTCTATCCAAGCTGAGATGTCTAACAGTCAGATCAAATATTCATATTTATATGTACACACTATTCAGTTAAATGGCTACATAATACAGAACAACATGTGCATTGTTATAGGTCCGTATTTTGATTAAATTGCATTTGAAAATGTATTAAAACGATTGTGAATCCACAAACCCATTACTACTATGGGATTACGATCTTTTTGGCAAAACAGTTTTGTTTGAGTGCGAACACATCACCCCTTCGACAAACTATCTGCGGCATTTTCCTGCATACACAAGTAGTTGAAATTAGAATTTCACATCCCCAATATCAGCCTACTCACTGAGGAGTGTATAACTAGACAGTACGCAACCGCTTACGAGTTCGCCAATTACACGGATATGCCTACGTGGACTGTTAAGGGAATACAAATTATGTAGGCTCGAAAGCGTGATATAGTTTACCAGGAATAAACAGCTTTTTCACGAAGAAAACAAAGACATATTGATTTACATAAATGTTATCAAAAGAAGTTAAGCATCATGCAACCAACTTTGTTTTCTTGGTTCAAAAACAACTAAAACAATAAAAATTAGATCGCGAAATCTGTTGACTAGCTTATACAAACTTATAATTGATTATACTGGTTTGAAATTAACTAATACAACATATTTATCACACACATAATAATTGAATCATGTGTGAGCCACATGTTTTTATGGAAGATGATAATTATAACTGGTCATCAAGTTGAAAGTGACACAATAACTACTTAATGACAATATTACACCGAAAATTGAAAATATTATTTTCAACAATCTACACTGCTAACGTGAATTTCATGGAGAATCAGGGCAGAATTTTAAATATATAAATAGTTATTTTATTTACACATTTTACTGTTACTAATATAAATATAATTGTAGCAATCTTGAGAAAACTAAATACCATTTTTTGTAGATACGAAAAATTGTTTGGTACAAATACTGACTTTTTATCCTCAAAATGAACACGCAATAAAAACTCAGAAAAGTGACTGACTAAAGGCAACTAATACAGTGACTGACCACAGAAGACAAAAACTGACAAGCTTACAGGAAAAGAAAGGAAAGGTTTTTGTGCTGAAAACAGCGACAAAGCAGAATAAGAATAACTGATAATCACCGAGGACTCATTATTGTACAATTAAAAACAAATTCAAGAATAAAGAGTGTAAAGAAAATGATGAAGGGAGAAGAGAGAGAATGATAGTACTCATAATATTAATCAGCTAAATCATATTCTAGAAAAATTACAGTTGCAGTACAAAAATCGTTTGTCTATATTGATTGGTAAATATAAATTAAGACATTCTGAAAGACATTTCAATGTCAACATTATAATTGAAAAACAAGATCGATTTCAAGTTTTGGTTAATTGAAAGGATAAACAAATGCAACTGAAAATTTTTTCGCCAACGAAAAATTAAAAATACAAATTGATGAATACACAATATGTTTATCGTATTGATTTCCCTAGAAATTGAGAATTAGCTTCCATCACTCAATTACTTACAACCAAGTCCAGGAACACCAAATAATTCACAAGTAAATTCGAAAACAAGGTAAGTAACACAAACAGATGGTACAGTTTTTGACAAACTAGCACTTAATCCACGATAAAGCCCTTTAAACCCATTTCTTTGTACAATAGAACACAAAGATTTGATAACAGGAGCAGCACACGGAGATGATGATGCTTGGTATCGTGTACGGAGTAAATTGGCTGGATAAGTAATCAGCATTGGGATGCAGCAAGATATTAAAATTAATGGAATGGTTACCATAGCCGGCATATGAACCTTAGTTGTACGGTCAGTGTTAGGTTGACGAAAATAATGATACTCTATATAACGCTGTTTAAGCATCTAAACATAAAGTACACGTAAAAACATGGTAGACTGTTGAAAAATAACTTCAATGAAATAGAAAAGAATTTAGCGAAGTGTGGTTAAGTATGTTATTTCTGAAACTTTGTAGTATAGTGCTTAAAGAGAAATAGTAAATGAGGTTTTAAATCTGATTTGAAGTAAATTTTTTCTTTTCTGACCAGTAACACTTTTCTTCTACTACAGAGAACATTGTTATTATTTCACCATCAGATTAAACTAACTGCTCACAACCAGTTAAGACAGTAAAAAAGCTGAGCAGCTAAATATTCGCTATTTGAAACTATGGTGAAATAAATATTTTTTAATTCTTGTATAGAATCACACACAGAAACATACCACGTAACTGGCATACTATTAATTAGGAAATGAGTTGTGACAATTTAACACAACCAAGCACAACCAGTATTCAGAGTTGGTATTCATTACTCGATAGCTAAATGACCCAGTAGATACGTTTTCATTTCAAAACACTGGTGAAAATGAATTACATTCTTTAATTACCAATTTCGGAAACTGAGGTTTGAATGCTTAAGGTTATGCGTAGTTTTTGTAACAGCAACAAACGCATGTGAAGATAGCCAATGTAGCAGCAATCAGCTTCAACAAACACAAGGGACAAAGCAAGATCCTCCGATACAACACAATATCCAGCCAAACCACGCTCGATGGAGAAACTTTGGAAGATGCAGAAGCCTTTACATATCTAGGCAGCATCAGTGATAGACAAGGTGGATCTGATACGGATATGCAGGCAAAGATTAGAAAGGCAAGGGCAGTATTTCTACAAGTGAAGAACATCTGGAACTCAAAACAACTGTCAACCAACACCAGTCACAGGTTTCGATACGAACATCAAGACAGTCCAACTGCATGGAGCGGGATCTTGAAAAACCACAACAACCACCATCCAAAAGATACAGGCATTTGTAAGTAATTACCTACGAAAGATACTCTGGATTTGTTGACCAGACAGCATCAGGAATAATCTATTGTGGGACAGAACAAACCAGATTCCAATTGAGGAAATTATGAAAAAAACGCTGGAGGTAGGATGAGACAGCAGAAATCATCCAACTGCCTTCAAAGCCGTATTAGCTAATAACTAGCTAGATGTAGATGACTTCGAATTTCCATGTGCTGACGAATTATAGTATCGCATGGATTAACATTTTATCGGATCTTAATATTATAAGAGGGATAATATAATTTAGAAACGACTTTCGAATCTGAAAAAACCCTATGAAAAATAATCGCAGCTAGAACCTCAATATGTATTAAGGGGAAAGTAATTTACATGAGCACAGAAATTACAACGAAGATCATAAATAAAACTCACTAACTGAAATTCTAAGCATACCAACTGACCTCATAAAGACATAACTCCATTGCAGAATATGGCACGTAGCTCAGCATACTGATTTTGTAACCTCGATAAAATCCTCGGAAACCACCCTCGCTATACAGTTTGCGGATTACAGGAAATATGGAATTAGTTTCATGAGACCTACGGAGAGCCATTCGAGTTTTTAAAATCTAAAACAAAATGCATAAGTCAGGTTAGCGACTTCAAAATATTCAAAATAAAAATACAAGTAATTGTATGGTTTAGCTCATTTTTATTAACATAATTATCGAGACAGTATCTCTTATAACTATAAAATCTTGCTAATGACAAATCCTAGATTAAGAATTGATTGATGATATACTTAGTCTTTCTCACTATCAATGATACTACTATTACTTTGGCTTTCAGTATTTACCTTATCGCTTTTATCTTATTGTGCTGATGTGATGTGGAAAGGAAACTAAGGCCGATGCCCACTTGCACCAAGGACGATGTTGATAATGACTAACTGATTTACTCTGCTAACAATAACTGTCTAATCATCAATCGAAAACTTTACGTTACATGAATAAAAATCAGCAAGAGGCGTTACATTTACTTATTACTTTGCAAACACTGAATATATTATCCAATCTCATAACTACTTGTGCACTGAGTTTATGACCAACGGTATCATGTTTCATCTACGACAGGTCAGGAATACTTTATAAATGTACTTCTTCTTGCTTTAATTGTATCATGATAAGCCAAGCTCTCAGTCATACTCCGATCTGATAATGAAGTTAGCTTGGATAATTTTCACAATGAATGTGAGCCACAATTAATGAAATAAGTCAGTACTTGATTACTGAGTTAAACACGTTACTTCATCTCTAACAAAAAAATACTGGCGCATTAAATCTCCTAACATAGTGTACATTTCATCGATTAAAATCATGCTTTTCCACTTTGACTGCACTTACCTCGACTGGATACGTTATTGTTAACGATGTGGCACCAGACAAACTAGCTACCAATAAACGATCTTCTGGAGGTAATGGTCCTTTCACATTTGGAAAAATTACCGACTTAAGCCATCCATGAAGACCAAAACGAATAGCGCTTTCAGGACAATTTTTTAAAATATTCACCCCATTACCTCGCCATAATGATAGAATACCACCTTCTTTGATCATTATACGCAAGCCTAAGAAACGTAAACTATGAAAGTAAGTAGATTCCTTACTGTACAAATCATAAAATATTTATCTATAACAAAGTTTAATTCTGCCACCTTTGATCTGTATTAACTTTTCAGAAAACGATTCAGCTGAACATATTTAGACTTTTGAGACCTTTAGAGTAGAAGTAAATTGGACATAAGACAGGCAGCACTAAGTCAGTCAGTCAGTTGCAACGTAGAACTTCGTACATATGTACATAAGTTCATGTTGCCATACCACATTATTAGCACAGAGACGCAAATGTCAAATCAAATCCCATAGTGATAAAGATGGTAGAGGTATTAATGTTATAATAAAGAAGACTAGGGTTTAAGATATTATTCAAAAAAATATATAATTCAGTGAGATAAGGTTAGAAAGACAAAGCTAGAGGTGCTGGCTAATCCAGAAGATTAGGGTTTGAGAGAGCTCAAAGAGTGGATGCACCTGCGCCATTGCAAGCGATTTTGAGCCATGTCGTTCAAGGTCTCTAACCATTGATGACTTTCGTCTCGCGGACCCCAACCAGGTAGTCTACATCTACCAACATGACTCAGTCCACTTGTCAGTGACTTGATGGATTTCTGCCATGTTTTGGTCTGGCCGCCCCTAGCTTTCTTCCAACCTACTCCTACACCACAAAACATAGCTCGTCGAGGCAGTCGAGGCAGCACTAAAGTTCCCACGTTATTTCGTGATCTTGATACATTGATAAACACAGGATTATATCACAGTGGCTATATAGAGGTGATTAGCACGGGATGACCATACGGCAACCAAGACTGATTAAAAACGTGATAATTCGAACTTGGGTTGAATTAAATGGCTATATGAATTCAGTCGCTAAGTGGGAAACACAATGGCGTTTGGAGCAAATGGTACAAGGTTAGGTTCCCGGAACATCCATCTGACAGGTTTCAAAAAAGACGAAAGGTGAGTCCTAGATTCTACTACTAGCTACATTCTATCTATTATGTACTAACAGGGTTTGTTATTTTCAAGTAGTAAAGAATGATTAGTCCACTGGGTTCAGCATATAATCTAAAGACGAACTAAGGCTGTGGATTAAAAAAATAAGATGCGGGGATAAGTAGCAGACTTCTTAAGTTTAGGAGAAAGTATGGGAACAGTAAGATCTCAAGATCATGTTTTATTTTAAAAATCCTAAGGTATTTGAGCAGAAAGAGTAAATCAAAAATGCAACAGTAGGGATAATAATAACTTTTTGTTTATACCCAAAATGATTCAAGTGTAAAAGATATAGACTGAACTTAAGAATTGATAAAGTGATACGGTTCGCTAAACTTAATGAATATTCCTGAGAATGATTAACAAGAAATGTGTATTAGAAAAGCTGCCTTTCTTCTCTACTTAATCTTCCCGAAAAGTGAGTAGGGGATATATCAGGTCCTGATTGTCGTCATAGAATCGAATGGTTAGTTGGAAATGTACAAAACAAACCTTACAAATTAATTAGGGGTTAGAACACGTGCAATAAAGTTCATACGTATTCAAATATATTGGCATGATAGTACAAGTTGGAAGAAATGCATAATTTAACGTCTTACAGAAAGGATAGATCGGTTAAAGACAAACGGGCTAAAGGAGACTACGCAGAAAGAATATAAATAATCCATGGAAGCCGTTTCCATAAACTGGACGTCCATGATGATGTCCCAAAAACTACTTATTAAACTCGATCGAAGTCATTTAGTTGAATGGCTGACAATATATCAGTCTAATAGCTGAAGCTTCAGTCAGACAGTTACCTGTCAAACATAAGAATACTTGATAAATGTCTTGTTCTGTAAAAGTTGATTATCAAAACAGATTATTTTCTGATATACTGCACGCAGGAATAAATTTCAGGACTGGTACGACGTATACCATCAGTTTTATAGAACAAGAGGATTTTGAAGATACACGAATCAAAAAAGTACGTGAACATAAAATATACTTGAAACTATCAACACTCACTTGAAACCATGTTTTTGCCTACGATTTCTGGGATTTCCATTTGTCGGAGGACTTTTAAACGATCCATAGGTGCAGTAACTGTTCGGGAAACGGTTCCCGAAATGCCACCACACACAAATCCAGCCACATTCTGTGACAGCAATGGTTCAGAAGCAGGTGTAACTAAAACATCAGCGGGCTTCATTTAGAAAATTTAGTTCGTGCGGCCTAAGATCCTTCCTGACAATGCATTAATAGATCCTGTCATTAGTAATAAGATAATATGACATCAAATGAAATACATTCGCAATGGTTCAGCATTCCTAACAGTAAAACTAAAACGATGAGTACTACGTAGAAACATACCAGACCAAAATATTTAGTACGTAGCTGTTTAGAACATGGTTTGAAAAGTTTTTTAGTGTTAGATTTTGCTGAGAAAGTTATTAACTTAATATTTGATCTCACTTCTTAAAGGGTTTCGGTCGGTCCCCTAGTGAATCTTAAATTTTTATGGGAACGCGTTTCAGCTTGAGTGTCGAAGAAAACCTGTTAGCTCTGTTAATTAGTTAGTGGTTAAGATGAAACGATTCAGAGATTTATAAACCACACAAGAAATTACACTTCGGATGTTGACAAACGCATGGGGTTTCCAACAGATAGGTAGATATGTATGATAAGCTTGAAATCAACAGATACATATTTTCGCCTATAATAAGCGGAATCTTAACATACTACTGCTTCAAAGCACACCTGTCTAAAAAACAAACGCCTTAAAACAGGAAAATAGCCCGTTTTCGTTTCTCTATCAATTCAGAATGTATTTCTAAAACACAAAGGTGGATGCATAAATCTTAGAATTGTCTATTCTGTGCCTCGTTTGCAGAGACAAGGACCTCAACTCTTATCGTTTCAGTATTGTGACACATTATAATTATAAGTGGCATCAGACTTATGAAACAAATCAATAAACCAAGCAAATACTTCCTCTAAAATCAAATCAAATAATTGGTAATCAGGGAAAACAAAGCAACTTGACACCAAATTCGCTGGGTATCCTGCAAAACCGGTTTAGTTTAGCTGATGTAAGTTGCTGGTCGAATTACTACAAAAATCAAGGCACTAGAATTCAAAATGAGAATGACAGACAGATAAATGAAACTTAAAGGGCAGCATACAAGAGCCTGCTTATTATCAGTAGAATAAATAATGGCAAACTGATAAAGGGTACACTGAACATTACTTCAAAATCCATCTTACCAAACATTAAGATCAGAAATGCCCAAGCATTTTGTTTTGGATGGGGTTACACATTAACTTCACGCAACTCAACATACAACTACAGACTTTAAACCAAAACGTAGGTACTACAAGTTATTTGATACAGGTCGCTGAGTAATAAACTAGTAGTAACAATTAAACAACCCAATTGTAAAATACGGAGACCCACTCCATCATAGTTTAAAAACGTGCCAACAAACGCACGCAAATTTAGGACATTGTAACGTCCTTAAAATTATTCCACCATATATGATTTCCGTTAAGCTTGCTCTAACTATGCCATGTAAAAGATGCTGTATAAATAACTATTCTTTGTATAAATAAGCAAATTAATTCAGTTTTAATGAGTTTAATATTATCTTACAGCTTCTGTGATCTATTCACCCAATACACTGATTATCATTGCTTTGTAGATATGTTCAACTTTACATGTATTGCTTTTGCGTATTGTGACAATCCAGCCAGTGTTTCCGTGGGATTATGGACAAACCCGAAATAAAAAAAACACGTGAATTTTAACACTTTTATTATGTTCCTTATGAATGTAGTATCTCGGCTTTAAACGCAAATGTATTACAACCCTAAGCAACAACCTATTCTTTAGACTAAAGTTAAAGTTTTTCGTGGTTCATGTGAAAACAAGATTGATAACGTTATTGGGATAAATGTACTGGAAAACTAACACACCCGAACATCCAATCTCAATATGCTTTCAAAAGCTACCTCACATTCCCCAATTTTAATAACATCACAGTCTTTTTGAGTTGGAAATATCTTCCCAAACTTAGTGACAAGCGTAAATCCCAAAACAGATTCCTGGACTTTTTGGATTTATGATCAAAACTCAGATATGGGTAAGTTTACTAACACATTTATACATGATTGAGTCTACATAATCCTTGAACTAAATTTCATTTTGCTGTTGATGAAGGCTTACAGTAACGAGTTTAAAATTGCAAGCTCACTACATTGCATCTACAATGTACTAGACCTACTTGAATACCAATCTAATCTCTATGAGCTTATAATCCATTTTCGCATATACTGCCTTGCTCAGTTTTACACGTGAAACAGAAAATATATCCACATACAGTCGCGAAATCAAAATGCCTAGTAGACCAATGAAAAAGGGTCGTCCTTTTATCTTCAACACCCATTTCATTGGATAGCGTGCTGTTCGACTGAATCATAGTTCCAGGAATTTTTTAGAGACCTGGTAGTTGAGCAGGGTGCTATGAAGATCAAGTAAATATCTGTCTATTTTAATAATTACGTGGAACAAATAGGAAGCATGAAACAAATAACAAAGAAGACATATAGCGCTGGGACTGAAAATGTTAAATGATAGATAAAAAGACTATTAGATGGGAAGATATCATATAATGAACGAATAGTGCCTCCACCTGCTCTTAATCGATCGTGAAAAAACAGGGTGAGGTGTCCAGAGTCACTAAATAAGTGTAAACGTACTTAAATGAGCTGAACTAAAGATTGATTCACAAGACCGTATACGGAGATTTGAGTTTGTCCGGAGACTTCTTGGTAACCGATTTCACAGTCCAACAGAAACGGGTAGCTTTTGTTTGCAAGATGGTTTCGATAAAAATTACCAGTATCTCTATTTAGAAGACAATAATTACCATTTTTATCAAATCTCCAGTTGAAACAAACTAATTTAGTTTCATTGTGCATAATTCGGTTACGTAATACCTCAAGGAAGCTGTTGTACCTGTAAACCGAACTTGTAGTTATTGAATAAGCTTTTTGTGTCATAGTTCGTTGATTGTTTCTGGTTTTGGAATTTGGTGATGAATAATTACATCATATTTCATTCTCCATTTGAATGTGAATATTCCAAACAAAATACAAGGTACGATTAAATTTAATTTGTCTAAGCTACTGGGTATCCTGTTTTCATTTCAAAAATCTGTGAGATGAAACTGAGACGTTTCCTAAAGTTGGGCTTTACTTTTTGATTGTCTGTCGCTCTAAGAAATCCATGCTACCGATTACGATTCAGAAGCATTCTAGTAGAGGTTAGGCAAACCTTCCTAAAAATCAGTCTGTGATTATTATCTCGCAAATTTCGAGACCAAATAAACAGGAAGTATTATTCATTTTCCATTTACAACGATATCATTTGCCATGGAGGAATTCAAAACCAAAACAAATTAGTAGCAACAAACCCTACGTCCTTCAAGATGAGGTCTGATATGTATCTTAGATTACGTAAAACTAAACGATATCGCATAAAATATTCATCCTGGAGATACTATGTATAAAGGTATTAGGATTATATTTCAGTTAACCGATACTGACCCTAAGAAGGTTTTAGAGAGAGGGCAGCTTTGTTGCTCAACACGTTACTTGATATGAATCGGAATAGAGGCCTATCGTGGTTCTTCTGTTTTTTATTTCATTCTCTCAATCTCAGTTAGAAAAAGATCTTTAACTGAAATGCTCTTCTATGGATGCAGTTTGTTTATTCGAACTGTTTTCATGACTGTTTTGTTCTAGCCATTATTTCCCGTACTCACATTCCTTTCTTTGTCTCTGCATGTGTATTTAGTGCCTCGTTTTCCGAAATTAGTGGTATTCATGACGGTAGGGCGATAACCCTTATCTGTGAGAAAGAATATTTTGTTAGCTTACGGCTCCTCATGATTGATATAGAACGATGTAACTGATCAATGATATTAAAGTTAGTTTTCCAAGTCAACGAAGCTTACGATTCATGTTTGAAACCCTGAATCTGTTCCACTTCCTAACAAGAAATCCTATACAGGCAGATATGGACAATCATGTTGAGAAATATCTCACTCATGACTTCTTGAGATGGAGTTAAACAAACCATAGATGAAATACAATCACAGCATCAGATCACTGAGCCTTCATGATTAAATTCTGAAAATCAACGGAATTTCTAACAATTCGGTTCTCTTTAATTTATTATATTCATAAAATTGTTTGTCCACTTTTTAACTTACGAGAGACTTCTCTTCATTAACCTACAGATATGCGGTTGTACAGTTAGTGTTCTGATTACGGAAAAAGAAAGGTCTGAGTAATCATACCATTGTTTTATCCGAATATGTTATCTACTGAGTCGTGGGTGAGTTCAAAAGAGAATGTTTTCTGTTCTTCTCCCCGCCTCTTTGTCATTATTTCTCTTTTCAGCACCTCATCATATTCTCTAAATATTAGTCTTGCTAATTTAGAAGACTTGGTTACTTTACCCGTGAGCCTGTCAAATTAAAATAATCGAACATGCTGATCACATTAGTTAACATTTATTGCGATGTAAATCTGTTAGAAATGTTTAGTGTTCATTGACGTAAACTTTACTGCCAAGCCGCCTAACAAATTGCTATCTGAGAATGAATTATCGTTATTATTACTATTATATCTCTTATGCTATGAGGGGAACAAAGAGACAGTGACAAACAATGAAATCTTATTATTAGAACGTGGTTATTCGAGGCCTGCTACTCACTCTTATTTATTTTCAATTTCTATCTTACTCAGTAAGTCGAAGGCCTTCACTATCACTCTCTTTTTTATCCCGAAATTATGGTGGTTTATCCGTGAACACAATACTCTCTTCCTCTATACTAAATAACTATTTTGGGCATGATTGTACTTTCGTACATTGTGGTCTTGCTAAGTATGTATTTCTTCATGTGTATTTTCCGTTAATCCAATCAGGACTAACTTGATCAGTATTATCTCTTTCTTGCCTGCTAGTTTTCTTTCTTTAGTCTAATTCGTCTGGTCACAATTGGAGTCACGTGCTACTAGTCTCAACTTTGGCTAAATATTAGTGGAATTTTGTTCTCTGAGCTGAATGTTTTGGTTGTGGAGCATTCATAGTTCTTCTTAACATCATCAGCACAAACCACAGATAGAAGTGAAGTTTTAGATTCTCCCCACGTATGACTCATACCTTGTTCTGTTAACACCGATCTTGACTGGTTCTTATTGACTTCATATCTGCGATTGCTAGCGCCTTTATTTCGATTGTATTTCCCTTGATCTGTTTCTTGATCCTATATTTGTGTACGATTTTTTCGACTGGTTCATAAATTTGGTGGTGGTGTTTCGTTCTCTGAGCTGGTTGTTTTGGTTGTGGAGCTTTCATTGTTCTTCTGAACAACATCATCAGCACGAACTTCAGATAGAAGTGAAGCATTAGAATTTCTCCACGTTTGACCTGTAGCCTGTTCTGCTAACCTCGATCTTGATTGGTTGTTGTTGACCTTTGACCTGTCGTTGTTTGCAACTATGTTTTGATTGTCTCCCTCTTTTGATCTGTTTCTTGATCCAGTGTCACCTATGATTCTCCTGATTGGTTGATAAATTGGGTCAGTGTCGATGTGTTTGTTGATTGCTAATTGACCTGAGTGCCAAGCTTCTAAAAATTCTCTAGTGTTCTTTATCCTCCCCCTACCCAGTATTTCCACGTTGTTCCAATCAAATGTGTGTCCATAGTTGTCGGTATGTATTGAGATAAGCGAAGCGTTGTCGTGGCGTTTGACTGCTAATTGATGTTCACGTAAACGGAGCTGAAGAGGTCGTCCACTTTGTCCTATGTAGTGTTTTTCACAGTTTGAGCAATTTATTTTGTAGATGATATTTGGTTTTTCTTCCTTTATCATTTCGTCCTTTTGTCTACATAGGATTGACTGAAGTGATTCTGTTGGTTTGTGTGCCACACCTATTCCAAATGGTTTCAGTAGTCGTGCCGTATGTTCCGATATGTCTTTGATATATGGTAGGATGATGCGTTTATTTGTTCTTGTGCTTGATTTCACTTCTGATGATGGTTTTGGTTGATGTTTTTTGATGAAGTTGCGTGGATAGCCGTTCTTTTGGAAGATAGTCATCAGGTGTTGTTCCTCGTTTTTTAATGTTCCGTATGTGCTGCAGTGTGTCTTCGCTCTCTTGAACAGAGTTTGTATGCAGTTAATCTTGTGGGTTCTGGTAAAATACTTAATTGATAAACATCCTTGAACGAGCAAGACTCAAACTTCTGGAAAGAAAGGATTATCTGTTCTGACATGAGTTGTTTAGAGTTTGAGAACGTCACACGTCACAGTGGTAATTGATGCGGCGGGTGGCATTTGAGGTCTCAAGAGGTAATGTTACTGAAACCCAAACTGAATAGTGGAGCAAGAAAGCAGGAACGACAGAGTATGGCTACCAAATATGTACAAAT